TTCAGCTCTTATATTTGTTTGCTTTAAAAAAGTCTTCTCATTCTGTGATTTATTAAAAAAAAACTAATTAGATAAATAAATGCAATAACCTTGTTAAATAATTTGAGATTTGTAACACAAACAACATGACAAACAAAAAAATTAACTACCTGTTCTTGAATGCCCTCTCATTGCAGCAATTTCCAAGTCATTTACAAAGTGTTTTAGTTTTAAGTAGCATTTAGGTCCTATGTTTCACCTGGAGTCTTAAGCCATTATTTTTTCAACAATTACAGGAAATTCAGTACTTGTGTTATATAAAGCCGTATAGAATTTCTTTTTTTTTTCTATTTCTCAAAATCAGTTGAGCTAAATTTTTTTTCTAAAAACAGATTAATTTTCAGAAAGCATGTTCTCTTTGCCTAGCATTATGTATATTTATTATTAATTCATTATCATACAAATTAATGCAAAACTTAAGCTCAACCACTAATGACTATGAATCGTTATGCGTAGAAATCATTAGCAAAACCTCAAGAAATATAATTGTGCATGCGTTATATAGACCGCCTACAGGAAAAATTAATGCGTTCAAAAATCACATTAAAAGTATAATTAAAAATAAATCAAGTTGTAATAAAAGTGTGGTTTTTATTGGTGACATTAACATTAACATTTTTGACTATGACGTTAATAAGCACATTACAGGGTCGTCCACAGTTATTTTCGTCGCGTCCATAATTATTTTCGTCACCTCCATAAATATTTTCGTCGCGTCCATAATTATTTTCGTCGCGTCCATAATTATTTTCGTCACGTCCATAACTATTTTCGTCGCGTCCACAGTTATTTTCGCCGAGTCCATAATTATTTTCGTCACGTTTATATTATAAAAGATTTTTTTATTGCTTAGAAAATGAAACAAATCTATCAGTTTAATTTAAAAAGTGTTATAGGTTTAGATTCACTCAAAACACGTTTTTAGATAAAATATACGTATACTATTTTAATAAAAATTTTACAGTTTGAATGTGAAAAAATACAAATAAGTAAATAAAGATATAAATACAAATATGTAAATGCAAAGATGTAAATAAAGATATAAGGTAGTCAAAAAATTTCATTTATTTATAAATATTTATTTATAAAAATTTCATCCTTCATTTAAATGAATTCATTCCGTTGGGTTCCTTTTACTACCCATTCACGCATATGTGTATAAAATCCTTGTAGTGATTCATTACGAGATGTTAAAAGAATATTTGATATTTCCATTTCCATATCCCCCGTTGTTGCTGGTCTTGGAATAATTTTATTGTATTTATTTTTTATTACCCCAAAAAGCTCTTCAATGGGATTAAGTTGCGGACTATAGGGTGGGAGAAAGTGAACAACACACATTCCATTTTGAATTGCAGAAGTTACAATAGCTGAATGATGAAATCGAGCATTATCCATAATGATAACATACCTTCAATGAATTTTCAATCCATTCTTTCGTACTGACAGCATCAAAAGATCCTACTTTCATTTGAAATGATATAATGCCTTCTACGGAAATAGCACGTATAAGGCTTTGTGTTGGTACAGTGATATAAGGTGTACTCCCACTTAATGCATATCCATGATGTCTTGATTGATGAAGGTTAAAACCGGTTTCATCAATAAAAATTATATCATTATCATTAATAGAAGAAACATGAGTACAATATAGAAATCTCTGTCCAATAACCATCGCTTAGTTTCTTGCAGTCACAATTGGTTTTAATCTAGTATAACCCATATTTTTTAATTCTCTTTTTATAGTTGTTGTGGAGCATTTACCCAGTAGGCACACGACGTTATTTCGACGTTGATTAACAAATGATTTTTAGTCGCGACGTCGTATAACCAAAAATCAACGTTGTATTAACGTTGAAAAATTTGTTTAAAACTATCAAATAAATTCGACGTTGATTCCACGTTAATTCAACGTCTATATTACGAGTTCGATCGTTCGTAATTGCAATATGAGAACTAAAGTACGCATGCGTGACTTAAAATTTTTTAATCAACACAACAAATAACAAGTAAAGGCTTAACAAGTTACTTATTAGCCCAATAAAAACAAGTAAAGTCACACATGCTAATAAATTAGGTCATCTGTTGCCTTTTTATAAGGTTTTAAATTTGACAATTTAACAATAATATATGGCTTAACTTGTGATGCAGTTAGTTAGGTAAATATTTAAATGGATATTTCTTTATGACCGTATTATTTTATGAGTGTGGATTACAAGTAGAGACTACTTGATATATTATATAAATATAAAATATATATTATATATGTTTTTCTTATTTATATAATTTATATATATATATATATATATATATATATATATATATATATATATATATATATATATATATATATATATATATATACATATATATATATATATATATATATATATATATATATATATATATATATATATATATATATATATATATATATATATATATATAATATATTTATATA